AAAATATTTATCTAATTTTCATAATTTATATTTTATGAATTAAAATAATTATAAGTGTTCGTATGCTTCTTGCCTGAATTTTATAATTTTTTTATCTTAAATTTTGAACATAAAAATTAAATCTAATAGTAGTGAAATTAGATACAAAATATTTAAAAACATGCGCAATGAATAACACACCAATATTCTTCATAATAAATAAGTAAATAAATAACAACATGTTTGTAGAATATTTTTATTTCATTTTCTACAATAACAAATTAAATCTAATAACAGTGAAATTAGATGTAATATGTTTTAAAAACATGCACATAAATAAATAAATACATAACATCATGTTTGTAGAATTTTTTTGATTCATTTTCTACAAGTTGAAAAATCTAAAACATATGATCATGATTAAATTAATCGATAAAACAAAGTATTATATATATATATATATATATATATATATATATGAAATATATGTAATAAATATTATTTGACATAATATAAAGAGTATTTCGTAAGTACCTTTTTATTTATTAGTAATATCGCGATAACATAAAAATATGACTATAATGTTAAATGGTAGGTAATTAATTATTTTAGACTTATAAATTTATGTTCATAAAATATTTTGTAGGTAAATTCCTTCGAATGTCTTCTCCCTCAATTGCCAACGTTTTCCCACGTTTTCTACGTTTTCCCACGTTTTCTTAAGATTTTGGCACGATCTGCTGAGTCATGCTGTTACGCTGTTACGGAGACTTTCTACTGTCAGACAGTGGGTGAGTAAGTGGTCATGCCACGTCAAAAAAATATTGGCCCAGACAGTGAGCATTGCAGAAAAAAAAAATAAAGACGATGTTATGTGGCACATATTTTTTTGGACTCAACAGTCTCGCACTAGAAATTCTTTAATTAATTAATCACACTAGCAATCATTTAAGCACCATCAAAAGTGATGTGGCTTACTTATCCATATTTTTATTTGGCTAAATTACAAAATATAACTACTAATTTTTACGGGTTGGCATTGTTAGCTGCCATCTTTTCGATTTAGCAATAGTAGCTAATGGTTCTAAAATTTCTGTATTTTTACCTAATTTCAGCAAAACTTGTTGTAATCCGGGTTGATATTACAAACTATGTTGACATAGACTTCACGTGGCCTACTTAATCCATATCAGCACAACATCCTATAAATACATGTAAATCGAACAACAACCCTAGTTATTAATATGTCGATTTGATGACATCCTCTATCTAATTGCGTAGCAAGAGGAAGCCAAACTCCTCTCCTTCTGTATAGAGTGAGCTTCTTTAATTTTCCTCAATTGTTTTCATTAATATGTGAACATCTTGAAGTTCTTTTTATTTTATTTGTTTATGACGTTACATTAGTATCAAGATTAAAAGTGTTTGAATTAAAGTGGTTGTCCTCCATTGTGGTTTATAATTTGACTTTATACAAACAAGTGGGAACATAATAAGACATACATTTTATTCATTTGTATAGTTGTTATTTTTTGTTTATTATTGTCTTTTATTTACCAACTCGTAGGAGTGGTCAATTGAGTGATGTTGTAATTGATTGTTGTTGTGTCCTATGGAAATCAACTTGTGAATGAACATGTTTCTTAATATAATGGGGGTGGTTCATTTATCTTTAAATACGTGGATATTAAAGGTATGACCATAGATGCCCTAAATAACTTTTCTGATGAGGTTGATGGAAGAAAAAGGAGGAAGCATCGATTATTGTCTGGGAATAGATTTAAGGGAGTTTTCACTGATGAAGATGCTAGGTCTTGGTTTATTTAGCATCAGGCTATTAGGGAGATGGAAACTTGTGTGAATGTGATACAAAGTAGTGATGCAATTGACGGTGAAGACTGTAATGGAGACTCGCTTCAAAAGATATCTGTTGAGGACTCTCTTGATTCTGATTACAATGTGGAAACTGAGCAAAGTGATGATCATGAGATTTTTAAGAAAAACGATGATCTTAGTGTGGACACAACAAATCAGTTGTCAGAAATATCTCTTGAAAATGATGGTGGAGAAGCATCTGTTCAGAAAGAGTGTGATGTAGTCTTTGTTCAAAAGAACTCTGCTGAATACTCTTTTGACTCTCATTACAATGTTGAAGCTGAGGAAAGTGATGATGATGAGCAGTTTTAGAATAATGTTGTGTGGACACAACAAATCAACTTTCAGAAGCATCTCGTTTAATGAAATTGGACAATGATGATTAACTGTTTAACCTTATAGATGACCATTTTAGGGTGTCATCAATTCAACTATAAAAAAACAAACTATGCGACAAACGGGCAAACATAATTGATAAAATGCGAACTATTTATGCTATAAACTAGGCGATAGGCAGACGAAGATAATTGAAAAAGTGTGAAACAGATAAAACTATGCGGTATACAGACGAAAATAATTGATAGAGTGTGAAACATATTGAAAAAGTGCGAAACATATTATGCGATAAACTATGCGACAGACAGACGAAGATAATTGATAAAGTATGAAACATATTATATGATAAACAAGGCGATAAGATGCAGAAAATTGTGTGAACAGTTCAGTCAATTGCGTGTCTGTTTCATTTTAGTTGCAGATAATCTTCTAACACATTTTTTTATATGTTATAGTTTTTTTTTCTCAATTATCAGCTTTTCGTGTAAGTCTTAGAAATACCGTCCTCTCGAGAATGTTGTACCAGAAACACGTGAAAGAGATTTTCAACGTTTTGAATCTCTAAAGTTTCTAAGAATGAAAATCTTCAAATGAACTCGACAAGAACCAACCTATTAGGTGTACTACTGGAATAAACCTAATGAGATGGCATGTGATAATCTAATAATGGCAGCGTGATAATTGACTCAAATTCAGCTAGCGGGGATACCTAAAAATCGAAGACAGACAATCGCGATTAACACAATACAATCTAATTATACATGTTGCAATTGAACTAAAAGGTATATCAATTAAGTTGGAAATAGTTTATGGATAAGAGATCCATGGAAACTTGATTAAACAGGTGCGTAGATCCTTTGCATACGAGCGAATAATTAGTGGTCGACCTAAAGCCACGACATTAAACAAAAAGAAATAGTACGAGGCAGAAAATAGCTGGTATGGAACTGGTAATACATAAAGCGCGAGCTAATTATCCTACTTACAAATAAAAAATCAACTTTTGGAAAGTTTTTCTCTACATAAAAACAACCAAACAATTGGTAATCGATCATTCAAATAATTTAAGCTTTGATAGGGTCAGGAGAAACAGATCCACATACACAATATAAGACCTGACGTCAAAAATCGATAATGCGTAACACAAACTAAATCTGACTTAATAATAAAAGTTGAGAGAAACGGGCTAACAAATAATTACCAATAAACGGGCTAGACTACCTCATAAAATTTATAACAAAACATGTTCAAATTCCACTACACATCATCTAGCTAAGAAAATGAGCTATTGGGCCGATACACCTCCGATAGCACCCGCGTCATCAGTCCACATCAGGTCGGCTTGCTGCTCTAGGGTGACGGCACCATCATTTGGGTCGATAAACACCTAATTCGAATCATGTATT